GCTGAGCCTCTCACAGCTATTTTCATGTCACATGTGACAGTGTTTTGCCGAATGGCATTCGTTATTGTTGTTGCTTGTTCTTTTGTGTGTGTCCTATGATGGCAGCTCTGATGATGGTCATTCCAGAAAAAGAGTTCCAAAATTGCTTTGAAGTGTGAAGGTGCTGGTTTCAGTGTGTAGAGTCCCAAGAGGAGTACCTTGAAGGTGACCATGGTGATATTTAGCAATAAGGTATGCAGCACATTTTCTAGGATGAGTTTCTGAACTCATCTGTTAGATCTCCTATGGTCATACCCGTAGACTTGCAAATTGAGATGGCGAGTTGAAGACCCATTCCAGACCCTCCCCACCTCACCACCAACCCTGTACCTGTGTCCTTCTTCTTCTCGTGATAGGTGTAGACAGCTCCCGCAGTGCAGTTCTTGCCATGCCGTGTCATCCTAAAGGAGGAGGGGACAGTTGCAAGGCTGTAGTGACCAGAGGTGATCTATACGCCCTCAATGGGAAAGGTGGGAGGGGCTGGGACGAGGGGCAGACACCCATCACATCTCCTCCTGTAAGTCCTCTTTCCAGATTTACTTGAACTCACTTATATACCAAAACGCAACCTTAAAGAACAAAAGTAATTTGCAACTAAGTGAGCAGGAGACCAGGGTTCAACTTCTGACTAGTTGGGACAGCGACTGTGCCATGAACCGGGAAAAAGGACGTCACAGAGATCTGACTTTTGGCGTATTGGTGTAGGGTAGGTACCACCCTTGTTGATGAAGCCACTCCTCCTTCTTTTCCTTTCCCATTTCTATATACCCAGACTGAAGCCAAGGGGTGGGCCAGATCAGTGATTGGCTCAGCTTAACTCAATCAGTGATTGGATTGAGTGATTTGCCTTGATTGGGTCTTGGAGGGGCCAATCAGAGGGCAGGTCAGTGTTGGGCTCTGGGCCTAAAGAGCTGCCAAGCCCACCCTCACTTCAGGTAAACCCGGAAGGGAAGACCCCAGCCCCTGGAATGGAGCTCCTTTAAAAAAACAAACAAAAAGGGCGGCACCTGTGGCTCAAAGGAGTAGGGCGCTGGCCCCATATACCGGAGGTGGCAGGTTCAAACCCGGCCCCGTCCAAAAACTGAAAAAAACAAAACAAAACAAAAAGGCCGGCTTGGCGCCTGTGGCTCAATCGGCTAAGGCGCCCGCCACATACACCTAAGGTGGCGGGTTCGAATCCCCAGCCCGGGCCCGCCAAACAACAATGATGGCTGCAACCAAAAAATGGCCGGCACCGTGGCGAGCGTCTGTAGTCCCAGCTACTTGGGAGGCTGAGGCAGGAGACTCGCTTGAGCTCAGGAGTTGGAGGTTGGTGTGAGCTGTGAGGCCATGGCACTCTACCCAGGGAGATAGCTTGAGGCTCTGTCTCAAAAAAAAAGGCCAGGCTCTGTGGCTCACGCCTGTAATCCTAGTGCTCTGGGAGGCCTAGGTAGGTGGATTGCTTGAGCTCAAGAGTTTGAGACAAGTCTGAGCGAAGAGTGACACTCTGTCTCTAAAAATAGCCGCGCATTGTGGCGGGAGGAGGCTGAGGCAAGAGAATCAAGTTTGAAGTTGCTGTGAGTTATGATGCCACAGTGCGTATACTGAGGGTGACAAAGTAAGACTCTGTCTCAAAAAAAATTTTTTTTAAATGATAGAGAGCTTTTTAAACTTCCCATGATTGTTAGGCCCTAAGAGTCAAATAAAGTAAAATAAAATAAAAGATCAGCAATTCTCAAGGAATATGTTCCTGGGACTCCTTGGGTCCCCCAAAACATTTCTAGACAGTCCTCAAAGTCAAAACTCTTATAATACTAAGATATTTGCCTTTTTTGCTCTCATTCTCTCATAAGTATTCAGTGGATTTTCCAGAGGTCCTGTGAGGTATGACACTGCAACACTAAGTTCCTGATAATTTGTTACAGCAGCAATAGTAGAGTAATATAGTTATCAGGGAAATGCAAATTAGAACTTTACCCAAACACTTCTACACACCTACTGGAAGGGTTACAGTTAGACCAGCAGTTACAGGTGAGTATGTGGACCTCCTGGGACCCTAATCTACTGCTGGGGTATGGGGTGGGTATAGGCTGGTGTAACCACTTTGCAAACTAACTGCTAGTATCTACTCAAGTCTGGCATATGGCTCGGCGCCTGTAGCTCAAGCGGCTAGGGCACCAGCCACAAACACCAGAGCTGGTGGGTTCTAATCCAGCCCTGGCCCGCCAAACAACATGACAATTACAACCAAAAAATAGCTGGGCATTGTGGTGCGCACCTGTAATGCCAGCTACCTGGGAGGCTGAGGCAAGAGAATCACTTAAGCCCAAGAGTTGGAGGTTGCTGTGAGCTGTGATACCACAGCATTCTACCCATGGTGATAGCTTGAGACTGTCTCAAAAAAATAAAAACAAATAAATAAAGTCTGGCATATGCCAACCCCATGCACCAGTAAATCCTTTTCTGTGTAGATACCTAACAGGCACTCCGCCTACCATAGGCTACAAATTCAGAGTGTTTAGAGCTTCCCTGCGCAATATAGCTCATTAACTGGAAACTACCCCAATGCCCATCAACACAGAACAGATAAAGAAGTGGGGCACAGTCACATGATGGAAATATCCAGCAATAAGAAAGAACAAGCTGACAGTGCCCATAGCTTAGTCAGCAGGGCGCCAGCCATATACACCTAGGGTGGCACGTTCAAACTCAGCCCAGGCCTGCTAAGCAACAATGACAACTGCAACCAAAAAATAGCTGAGCTTTGTGGCAGGCACCTGTAGTCCCATCTACTAGGGAGGCTGAGGCAAGAGAATCGCTTAAGCTCAAGAGTTGGAGGTTGCTGTGAGCTGTGATGCCACAGCAGTCTACTCAGGGAAACAGCCACATACACCTAGGGTGGGGGGTTCAAAACCAGCCCAGGCCTGCTAAACCATGACAACTGCAACCAAAAATAGCTGGGCTTTGTGGCAGGCACCTGTAGTCCCAGCTACTTGGGAGGCTGAGGCAAGAGAATCGCTTAAGCTCAAGACTTGGAGGTTGCTGTGAGCTGTGATTCCATAGCAGTCTACCCAGGGCAACTGCCACATACACCTAGGGTGGGG